CGTGCTGGTGCTCCTGGGACATCCACATTGCACGTCGTGGGTGGGGGCTGGCATTTATTCGACATGCACCCCGGCGAGCGGGCCAATGCCCTTGCACAGGAGTCCCGTAGGCCGATCGCTCTCAAGAGCTCTTCGGGGCATGGCGACACCGCGGGGCTCGGGCCAAACGCCCAACGAGTGCGGTCCTTACGGGGACTATCCGTGGCCGTCGAAGCTCCGCCAGCACCCCAATCGCAAGTCCTGATTGGGCCGAAAACCCTCGATCACGGAAGATGGTGGTCGAGGGCCGCAAGACCCCCGAGGTAAGGGTCGGCTCCTGTGGCTCGCGTTGCTGTTGCGACACTAGTTGTGGCTGGCGGGGCGGGGGAGCTGGTCCTGGCGCAGGCCTTTTCGTGGCCCTCGGGATAAGTATCTGCTCGTGTCTTGGCCACTTTTGAGTGACCCAGCTGCGAGCAGGGAAACTAGCATGCGCCGAATCCGATGGTTACGTTCGTCGTGCACGTTTATTTGGGAGCAGCAACTCGAATACGACCATGACGAAGCATCATGTAGACTGTGCTGCGAAAACGACGACGCGGGCAGCGGTTCCTTTGAGATTAAAGAAGTCGTTCGCGTGTCTATTCTTAAAGTTACCTCTTAGCACACCTGTTGTTAGCTTTTACCCTACGCTTTTTCGACTTCGTGTATCTCCCGATGTGTGTTACGTACCGTCACGGTCTGAGCAAAAATCTATCGAAATTGCCCAATGGCAGGCAACCTAATGTGCGTTCACCCACAAGGCAGCATACACACAACGTGCGAAACTAATTTGTGGACATTTGTCCCGCGCACGCATACATTGGCGCCCGTGTTGAAGCAACGAGCCGGCGCTTATGCTGGCTGGTGACTTCTTCCTATTTCCTGCTGAACTTCGAAGTGGCGCATTCCCATGCGCAGATTCCTCAAACTTGACCAGTCGAAAGTGTGCATGCGCTCGCGTCATTTGCGGTTCAACCTCTAGAGACAAAGGACTGCTCGCCTGAATGAATCCGCCTCTCGATCCACAGAGAAGGCGCGATTTACTAATTGCCTCGATCATAACGACCACTTGCAAGAAAAGAGCCCTTCAAGTGAGATGCCAAAACTGATATCAGGCAACCACGGGTCCGAAACGGAGCCCTGATCGGTCTGGTCAGCATGAATCGGCCGGCTAACACTGGCATGGCAAGAATGGTATTAACGCTGTTCTGCCCGCCGAATCGCTTCAGTTTCTCTATCCGACAAATTGCCGCTCGAGAGTACAGAGTCTCGACAAACCTTATCAGTCGATTGAAAGCGAATACAATCAATTCAGCTGCGCGCGTTCGCGAAGGCCCCGCAATGTCCGTTCTCCCATTGGATGGCATTGCCGGCCCTAGGTACTATTAGAAGGCTATGATTTGAATACAGGGGAAGCCTATTCGACCAACTCTGTTCGCTAATATTGATACATTGCCCACTCGGAGACGATACATTACGCATCGCCCCATTGGACGCAGATGCTGTTCTTGCTAGCTACGGGCATATAAAGCACCTTGCTCCCTTCTACTTTCTCCCAGTCATCGACTACACACCTCCCTCGATCAACATGTCTGTGAGTAGCAGCGTCCGGTCCTACATCTGCGTTCGAGGCGAGAGGCTGACCTGAATTCTAGGACACCGTAAAGTGCGCAAACGTCCAGGCCAACGGCGGCTCCTGCACTTACCCCGCGTGCAACTGCGCCGAGCCCCCAAAGAGCAAGTGAACGGCAGCTGCCACACGATGCGATGGGTATGTACGTATGCCGCATAAAAATTGCTTGGAGTGCTATCTGACTGCTTGGAATCTGTGATTATAGTAGCTCGACGCGAGTGGCCATCAGTCGATAGGGCATCATCTTTATCGTAGTATGCTATTGTGCCGTCACTGTCGCAGTAAAATACAGCGTGTTCGAAGCCACATCCTGAGGCCTGAGTGACGGTATTGGCTATGCTTGGCTACGAGTCTTCATGCGTGGATTGGCGCATTTTATCCGGCACATTGGGTGAACGAGGTCATCTACTTACCCTGAAACTGCTTTGAGCCAGCTATCTCTGCGATGCAAACACGAGATAATCATTTTCTGCGATCCGCAATCTTTCGGATTTAAGTACTGAAGAGACCAATTCAACGATAGATGTCTCTGAGGCGCCAAACAAACATAGATACCGCAGTGTTGTACGCCAACATCACCAACATGAACGAGGTAGCTAGTGAGTCCACTTGCTTTGATGATCCACGCAGCACATCATGCAACCCATAGAATTTAGGTATAAAATTGTAAGAATCGACTACGGTACAGATGTATCCATTATAAATACCATCGTAAAGTAAACTCATGAAGTCAAAAAGACGATGCTCCCAATTCACGCTCCCGCCACATCGACGAGATCTGCAGCCTCCACCTCCTCCCACTGAAACCCCTCTATCTCCCCCGCTGATGACGACAATGTTGGAACGGGCTGTCTCGACACCTCGATAGGCGAACTGGATAGGAGGAATGCGGCGCCCTCAGACGAGGACTCGCTAAGGGAACCAGTTTCCCAATTGTCCTGAACAGAGTGCCCCTCGGTTTCGGAGTCGGCAACACCTTCTAGCATAGCCGACCCAGTCTGAGCCTGCTCTGCCTCCGCTTCCGCAGCGGGCGCACTGGACCCTTGATCGTCGTTTGACTTCACTGCAGGAAGGCGGTTCAACACATCATCGACCAAGGGCGCGGCAGACGACAGCGCGCTATCTTCCGACGGAAGAGACGTATGCTCGGCGGGTGATAGGGACGTTTGTGGTGCTTGCGGTACGAACTCGTCAGGCGCTCGGACTGATTGCTCGGGGGCATCAATTTCGGGGAGTATAGCCTCGAGGTCTTCAGGAAGAGACGTAGTCTCTTTGATCAGTATGGTGGCGGCGGTCTGTGCTGACGCCCCGGGTGTCGCTTGTTCCGCAGAGGCGTGCTCTGGATCAGGATAGAAAGGCCCCTCAACGGGCTGGTCCGCTCGACGTGGAGGGCGAGCAGATACAAGAGAGTCTTCTTGTGGTGGAGCGGCGTGCTGTGCCTTCTGCGCCGGCTCGACGTGCAATGTCGATTCGTCAGCCGATGGGGCGCTGGGCGCTGGTGGAGCAGCGACAGGTGTCGTCAGCGAGTCGCTTGTAGGTGGAATAGGAATCGGAGTGAGCTCGACAGAAACTGAATCTGCCAACGGAGTAGAATCGACAGAGATTGACGTAGAGATTGCCGGGTCGACAGACGTCCGTGCTGGAGCGTCTTCGGTATTGGCTGGCAAAGTCGACGCGCCAGGTCCTTCGGCTGCAGCAGTACTGGCGGGATCGGCTGTAGAGGCAGAAACATCGGCCATCTTCGCGTCAGCCTTGACATCGTTCGCTTTCGCATTCCCCCGCTCCCTGCTCTCCTCCACGCGCCTCTCAATCTCGCGCAGCGCACGCTCAATCTCGTTTACGACCTCCTTCCTCCGCCCGCGCACCTCAAGGTCACCGCGGCTGTCGACCGCATCGAGGCGCGCGAGGAGGTTATTGAGCGCGTGCTCGTGCGCATGCACCGCACGGTTGCTCGACGTGTACATGAGCCCGTTCTGCGTAACGAGCTCGCGTGGCTCCTGGTCAGGGGTGGACGCAGCCGATGAGGCGTGCGGAGAGAAGTCGAGATGCTCGGGGAAGACGAAGGACGCCTCGAGCGCGCGGAGGGCGTCCTCGATCTCCTGGATGGCACCAAGCGACACGCGGCGTGCGCGCCGAGAGCGGAGGAGGGCGGCGATCTTGGCGGCGACGGCGGGGGAGATGACAGGCTTGCGTTCGAGTTTGACACGCGGAGCCGGCTCCGACGACTCAGACTTAGCGTCCGCGACGTTGACAGGCACAGAAGTGGCCGCAGCTGCGCTCGTAGTCTGGAAAGAAGGCGATAAGTGACTGCATGTGGATACAGGGACCATAGGCGGATCGCTGACCTGTTGCTCATTGATAGCCTTCGCCTTCCCTTTGCCTTTAACGTCGGCCATAGGCGTAGCAGCCGGAGGGAATCTCTGTGCTGGCGGCTTAGTCGGAGCACCATATAGCTTCGAGAAGAGACCTTGAAGCGACTCCTGGACCTCAGCGTCCCCCTCCTTCTCTAGGCGTCGTTGCAGCAGATCCTTCAACGTCGACCCGCGGGCGGGTGTGGTGCTCGGAGGTAATGACGACGTTGAAGACGACGTAGCAACATATGAAGTAGACGGCGTAGCTGACACTGGGATATGCGTTGGCGTCTCTCTTGCCTTGCCTTTGCCCTTGGCGTCTATGGGAGCTGATGATGTCTTCTGCGCAGTAAGATATGACAGCAGGCTTTCCAGCGAGGCGTAATTATCCGGGTCTGTCTCAGTGCGAAGCTGTTTCTTAATGCGTTGTTCGAGCGAGACAGGTGTGGCTGTGGTACGCGAGGGAAGACTCGATGCTGGAGAAAATGATATGTTCTGCGCCTAGAGGTTTGTAAGTAAACAGTCGCAGAACAAATGACAAAGGCAACACATACCATGGGCGCGTTTGAACGTGGTCCGGCGGCATCACCCAAGGTCAGAAGAGCGGATATGAATTGTTCGTCTCTGGCATGGCGCGCTCGCTCAGCGGTAGCTTGCTCGAGAGCTGCTCTACGCTCCCGTTCCTGTAGTTCCTGTAGGGCCCAGTATTGTTCCGCTGAGGATACCTCATGTCTAGATGCGCGGCGAGCAGGGAAACCGTTGAGCTGTAGGAGGAAGGCTTCCACGGCTGCTTGGCGACGTTGCTCTTCTAGCCTGCGGTATTGTTCCTCAAGGTATCGACGACGCTGTCCCTCGATCTGACGGCGACGCAGCTCCTGTTGCTGCTGTCTGCGCAGAGCTTCAGAACGCGCATGGGCAACCGCGTAGTCAAGGGCGGCCTGACCGACGAGCTCGTCGAGGAAATTAGGCTCGCCATGAGTAGTCCTCACGGAAGGATAGGTGTAAAAGCCAGAGTGGAGAGCAGATACTGGGGTCAACACGAGCATATTGAACGAGAAGGCGGATGTGGGATGCAGTTGAGATGGTGGTGATGATTGTACGAAGATGAGATGGCAGATGGAGGCAATAATGAGGACTTATATACGACCCTCGCTGTGTGTTTGTCAGCAGAGGGCGCTGCGCTGCGAGGGGACGCGTCGCCCGCCCCGCAGCGCCCCGTCCATACCCGGCCATGCGCGCACCTTGTCGAAGCTTCCTGCGGCGTCCGCAAAAGGAAGGATGCGCTCGAAGGCGCTCGAACTCACTCGAATCGAACGGCATCACGTGACGTTGTGCGTCTAACGATGTCCATCTTGCACCGAGAAAACAGCAGCCAAGGTTTTGCAATTGCATGCCGGAGTCTACATCGATAACAAAGGGAAAAGATGTTAGACATCAAGTGAAACCAGAAGGCAGTGACAAGCCTCAAGGCTGAATTGATGCCTCTGCTGCGATACATCGCCGACAGTGTGTTGATGTTCCCCGCATTAGTAACACCGTCGCCCATGGGAGGTGGACGCAGAGCAGTTGTCGGGGTAGAGGCACGGACAGCAGCCTACTAGTCCAGATCCACAAAGGAATGTCATGAACAAATGCGGTATAGATACATCGTGCGATCGTTCTATGAAGACATTCACCAACCCTGCAATAGACGAGGTCAGCACAATCCACACAACAGTCGACAGACCACGCACCAAACCAGCAAAGAGACGGAGGTCCGCGTGTGTCTCATACATAACGTAGTCCTGTGCATTGTTCACCTTGATCATGTCAAACTTGCGCTCCTCATCGTTCCAGTGGAATATCCGCTTGATCCCCGCCCATCGGCACCACTCCAGACAGCGCCAGCACGGCCGCGCGGTGCCCATCCCGTTCTTCGTGAACCGCGCGACGTATAGATCTGCGCCGTTCGCCCGCGGATCCCGCCGCCGGGCGTGCCAGCCTTTCGCGACGTCCCGCACACCCGCAGGCCCACCGCCGCAGCCACTGCCACAGGGCTCCGAGGCGGGCGAGCGCGAGCCCTCGCTCCCGCTGCTGTCGCCGCTGCTGCTCGAGCTACTTCGCCGCGGCTGCGGCCGCGAGGCGCCCTTGCCCTTGCCCTTCGAGCGAGGATGAGACGGGGGCTGACTCTCCGCCTGACCCTGAAAGCCACCATTCAGAGCCGGCGCACCCTTTTGGGAGCCGTGGGCCTTTTGTTCGATGTTCCGGCGGCGTTGCGGTGGGGCGTGTGCCTTGTGGAACGCGCCGCTCCATGCCTTGAACCTGCTTCCGGAACGAAGGGGACATGCCAGTCAGGCTGAAGATCGCATGCATCTCCGCGTGCATCGAGACAGGCTGTGGGGTGCGGTGGACGCTCTGGTCAGATGGGCTGCAGGACGTGGACCATCTGTGGTGCAAGTACCTTGCGATGCCCCTGCGTCCGCACCTCCGAACCATCGTAGTGCGGCCGGTGGTGATTATACCCCGATGAAATGACCTTGCCGCCCTTGACTAGTACGGCCCCGAGGGTGAAGCACATGGGGCTCTTCGAGGCGGCCTCCGCACACTGGGACAAATAAAACTGTGTCTTGTTCATAGTAGATCGTGTGCCTGGAGATATGATTTCAGACGTGAAGATGTTCCGGAGTCACAACAGCCAATATCATATACTCACAAGAGACGGTATCGGCGGAATTGTGCGGCGAGAGGTTTCAACAAGACAAATAATGTCGGCGTCGATATGGTTGTTGATTTTGCGTCGCACCTGGAAGTCTGGCCTCGGTCACATGCGTGATGAACCGTGACGCTGGCGTGATCGCATCGTCCTTTGTCACGCACAAGATCCACAATATTCGGAGACCAACTCTGTCGTCGATCATTGAAAAGTTCCACGCTCAGAATGAACATGCGGAAATGCATATAATGTTAATCGTGCATCAATATTTTAAGAAGGAGCCCAGCACATTTCAACATGAAACAGCCGAGGATCAACCTCGTCTGAACCGACGAGATCATAGAAACACGATATGAATGGAGAACGACCAGCGCGGAGCCGCATGGGCATTCTAGTCTGAAAAGAGCTCTCTTGTCACCAGGATCCGATTGGCGAGCGCACTCAAGTTCGCATCGGCGACAATGACCTCGGGTGTGAGCTCAACTCCAAATGCCTGCTTCACGGCCACCGAGATCCGCTTCGCCTGCCTCTCCGACCAGAACCGGAAGTCGTCTGCGTCACGACCCTCGTCCTCCCCCTGCACGTCGCTCGATTGGCCATCAGTCTTGCAGGACAGCGGGATTAATGACGGGTCCGAGTCGAGGCAGAGTGGGACGATGTGCATGAGGCTCGACCGGACGTTCCCGAAGTTCATTGCGCTCGGTTTTTCCACTAGGGCGGGAAGCACACAGATCAGCATAGGCCCAATTTCGGAGGATGTGAGAAGAGCAGATCTCACCGTAAACTTCGAACGGGCCGTCAAGGCTCATCACATTGTATTTGCCAGCATGATGGTAGCGGATCTACAACGCGAAATGTGAGCTCATTCACAGCCTTGTGCTACCAAAGTACTCACCTCGTAGCGTCCCGTCTTCCACGGGAGAGTACCACGCTCAAATACAACCTCTCCCGTCTCTGAATCGTTCTCCGGCCGCCCCGGTCGGTTCAAACTTAATGGGATATCTCCATCCCACTCTTCGTTGTGAACAGGAACCCACATGCCGAGAGACGAGGTCTTCGTTACAAGATTAGACTGATTGGCTCCGACCTGCCAAGAACCCGTAAACCTCAACGAGGCAGGAGAAGCCCAGACACGCAGCACATACCCTATAGATGCCGATCCAATCTCGGCGAGAATGGTGCAGGGGAGCACGCCACTTCACCCTGATAGGCTCGCCCAAATGGAAACGCAGCATACCTTCGGTACAGGGCATGATGGTGACCTTGTACTTGGTGGTGTCATAGGACGACAAATCGTTGGCGACGCGACTGACCGGGCGGATCCAACGCGTCAGCAACCAACACACGGTGATGCACCGAGGAGAACCACGTACGAGATGACCAAACGTTCCCGTGATTGCTGCAGAAGAACCTTGGTATCTTGCACAACCTCTGAAATCTTCGGACGAGCTGCGTAGCGGCATCAGTCTTTTGTTCGTTTCTCCACGTGAATCTGAAAAGACCAACAGACATTTTGCCAAAAATTCCTCCACAACGTCTGCTGTCTCCTCGTAGACCTTGTCAAAGGTGCCCTTGACCTCGCGAGCTACTCGCCTGATCTCCGGAGCATGACGGCCAGCACGGGACTCAAGTAGCCGGGCATTCTTGTTGGCCACCTTCTTGATCACCTTGACGAAGCCCGCGTCGTTCCGCAGCGACTCGCCGTACAACTTCCGCATGTGAGGGCTATGCCGAAAGGGATCAGCTCACGCTCAGGAGAGCCATTGATACTCTCAACATACTTCTCGACGTTGCTCAAGAACCACCATTGAGATAGATGACGGATAACCGCCAAAGCAAATACCAATTTGCTTCCACTAATCAATGCAAGGCCGAAGAACGCCGCCCCGCTCGTGACTTCGGGGTTGTTCAGGTATCTGCAGACCCGATAACGCTGAATATGTCTATGACATGCCGTTATGCGGGAGAACGCGTACCGGTAAATGCCAGTGTATTCAAGGTGTGCAGGGAAATCCTCCATGAAGAAGTCGCCGAAGAACCAGCCTATGAGAAGCGGTAAGCGGCAAAACGCTAGCGGCGATAGGGCGAAGAGATCGCACCGAACAGCCCGAGAGCCTCGTAGGACTCCATCGTTGCCCAGACATGCAGCCCAATGAGAATCTGGAACGGAGCTCAGGGTACAACATCCGGGCCGAAGACAATGGTCGACCTACCGTGCCGAGAGTATGGCGTAAAAGCTCGTTTCCGACACTCCATTCTTGTGGCAGAGTGTAAGTCTTCCATGCCAGACAGATCGTCGATACTGGAGCGCAAACACAATTCAGTACCAAACATTATGACGAATGGATCAGCGTTCCTACCGTAGGTCATGCACATGCTTAGATTGTACATAGACTTCCAGTTGGTGAACGCCTCGTGTACGGCGCCCTTTCCGTGGTCGTTCTGCGGGTAATAGTAATGTTTCAGAAAGTGCCGTACGAGGAACTTCTTCTCAGATTGGGCCCGCAAGATCAATCCGAGGCCGAAAGAGTGGAACAAGCACCACGCCAGAGCGTGCACGAAATGCACGGTGAGCAGTCCCTTGTGTGATAGCTGGGGCATAAAAGAACCGACAATTGGATAAAAGATGGCGAGAACAAGCTTCAGATCGGACGCTCTAAGATGTGGCTTATCAGGGACGGCGCCGGTAAAGGCTGTACGCCACTTACCTCAGAATATCCAGATTGTGCAAGAAGATCATGTCCTTCCTGAAGTATTGATTTGTGAGATCATGTTGAGAAAGCGCCCCAGAGCCCCTACGCTTGATGCCGGCGGCGTCACTCGCAGTGGATACAGATGCGAAGGAGGAAGCAGACTGGCGCTTAGCCTTCTTGCGTGGCGTATCAGCATCCAGCTCTGTTTCCGTCTCCGTTTCCGTCTGCAATTCATCAGTCTCCGTGGCGCTCTCGCCCTCGGTGGCTGAGGGTGTTGTGAGGTCAACGGATGCGACAGAACTCTGGCGAACATGTGAAGTTGAGACTGGCCCGAGCTTACGCGACGTGGAGGTCAGAAGGGGAGAACGATAAGCCAGTGGTTTGCGCTGTCCGTAAGTTCTCTCGATGTCTATCAAGAACCAGTCAGGAACCGCAGCACTATGGAGCACTGATACGGGTGTACGCACGAGGATTCTCGAAGAAAACCAGGAAGCCAAATTGAGCTGCGTGAGCTGCCAAGCTCACGAATAGGACCGGGTAACTGCCGATTATAAGCGACAGGCCGTAGTATCCGGCATAACCTACAATGCGAATTAGACACTATCTCGGTACGGAACTTGAGCGCCATACCGACAGAGTACATCGGATGAGGTGCTAGTTCGAATACACCATCGAATACAAGGGCACCACGCTGGAAGAAGACGTCGCCCCAGTACCAGCCGTAATCCTTGACGACATTGTGCGCCTCCGTCTTGACCCACAGATTAAATGCAATCAATGCAATTCCCCCAATCCATCTAATCGGTCGCGGTCAGTTTGTGGTCCTAATCCCCGACTTGGAATGCTTGCCTCATAACATGAACCGTGGTCGACAGACCTTCGGGCACCCGAAAGCACGTGAAGGCAAACATGCAATAGGCTAAGAAATCACTGCAACATATATTTTGAGACTCGACGAGGTCCGGAGTCCATTTGTCATACTTACTTCAGAAGAATGATGTCGACCATTTGCCGAAAGAGAAGCCATGCATTATACTCCAATGGCAAATCCTTCGACACTTGTCAGGTATAATATCTAAGAACCCACAACGTAAAACCTACATCAAAAGAATAATCCTTGCCCATCTTTCCTTGCAGTTGTTGCCGAATCCAGTTACGCACTGCGGGTCTGCATTGCTCGTCTAGCCAGCCTCGCCTCTGCACTTCCTTCACGATCCATTTACGCTTGCTCTGCTTCGTGAGGACCCACCCCAGTCCAAGATCATACGCGGCTCTCCAGAAAGCGAAATACAACACGAAGAAGACTCTAGCCACAGAGCGAGGTAAGACAAAGAAGAGGACAAGCTGTAGTCCAAGCAAACCGAGATTAAGGATATCCAAGTGAGACTTGGGGTATGCGGGATGGAATAACGCGGTGAGAACATCATGGGTTGTAGGCACACGGAACACTGGTGGCATAGGACATAGACTGTGAGCGCGATGCCCTGCGATCGAATGCTAGAAACACGCACCTTCGCCAGCAGGTGTCTTCCCCCATACCACCTCTTCGTCCTTGCGCGTCTTGTGAAAGTCATCAACGGTCGTGTCTGTCTTGATGCTCTCCGCTGAGGACTTGCGCCTCTGGCGTAGCGAGCTCTGTGTCTCCCCTGCAGACATGGTGGTCGGAGACGAAGGTGAACCCGAGGAGTCCAGGGACGCGCAGGCCAGCGGACTGTACTTACTTGCCGGTTTAAGCGGCCACGTGTGCGCGTTTGACGCGCCAATGCCGCCAAAATCGCGTCGGGGACGCTATTGTGCCTGCCCTAAACTCACCACCTTTTTGTCGCTTGTTGTCGCCATCCATGACTTGGTTCTTTCCCAGCTTGTGGCGACGGCTGTGGAACAAATAGTTTTGTGGCTGCTTTTATCACACGCTTGTGGCTTACCTTGCTTTGGATCTCGACTTGAAACATTTTCCCATTTTCCGATCCGACAACATTAGGCGCGACAGTCTCGGATCTTGCTACCCTGGCTACACTCCGTACTTGACGGGCCAGCGCGGCTAATGTCGAGTAGGGGGTTGGTAATGAAGGGGAGATTGTTCTAGGCATTAATTTCGGCCGTTCCTTGTGCTTCAACCAGGGGTGACCTTACGAGATGTCTTACATTTCATTCCTTGTTCAATAACAATATGTTTTGCGACGACGTGGAGGACTTCGAGGGGATGCAAGGGGTCGAGGTACCTAGGTATGCTGGTCGTCGAAACGTGCCTCCTTTTCGGAGTCGAAGTCTCTACTCCTAATCCACACGTGTTTTGCTATTCTTACGAAGATGCCCCAGTGGGGTTGTCATGGGAGTCCGTCGCACTATGTAGGACGTGTTTCATTCACGGGGATAGAACGTGCACAGATATACCGACTTTCTACCGTTGTCCACTCGTTGAGATGCCATATCCAATCGGTGTTTGGATCTAATGATAGTATGGCGTCGATCGGGGCAAAATTATTGTTTCGTCTCGTAGATGACAATGACAGTCGAGGAGCAACCTACACGCTTGTCCGAAATCCTTCGTATTATTTGAAAGTTAAACCTTAAAGGACGGCAGCTCGCTAGGATTGCGTTGTTCGCCGCAATGAGAGAAACTGCGCAGTACCGGTCAATTTGATCACCAGCATCAAATTCAATTGCTGAATATGATCACACTGCGGAATCACGATCATTGATCGGCATGTCCCCCACGACGAACCTCTCGCCCTCTGAGGATGAGTTGCGCCGAGCTCTCATAGCGCTACGCGCCGACAACCCAAGCTTAGGCATAGCAAAATTGCATGCGCTGCTCTTGTCGACACATTCTGCATGGGCGGTGAGCGAAAAACGAACGCGCAAAATTTTACAGAATGAGGGCCTGGTGCTCACCTCAAATCGTTCTACCACGCGTTCGACATCGGACCAGAGCGCAGCATCAACAGATGTCAAGAAATTTCCCTTGTCTGCACTCGTTGAAGGGCTAGACATCTCCAAATGGACGTCAAAGATCGAGGTCAAGTACTTCGACAAAATTAAGGGCAAAGGCCTAGTGGCGAAGGAAAAACTTTCCCAGGGAGAGGTAATCTGGAAGGAAGATCATTTCGTGCTCGCTCCAGAATGGTGAGTCTGACCGTCTCGTGTCGACAATGAGGTGCAGCCGAGCTTAATCCCACCAGGGAAATTTACGACTTGCAGAAATCCTCCCTTGCGTGCAGCTTTTGCAGCACGCCGCTGCAGGACTCTCCTATTGCAATATCTTGCCCTTCTAGCGCATCTTCTACAGGACATACGTGCCCTGCTAGATTTTGCAACCGTCTATGTCTATCTCGCTCGGGACGCACGCATCCGTTACTTTGCCCGTCTCAAAACCCGGCTTCCGTACCATTACTGAGGTTTGCCCGGCGAACCGAGTGGATGGCTCTACATGCCCTGGCTCAATGCACCGCTCGACTCTTGCTGACATACCAACAAGACGAATCTGCTTGGGAGTCCGACTGGAAATTTGTGCGGTCCTTGGCGCAGCTGGGTATGGAGGAGCGCGCGAAGGATGAATGGTGAGCGGACCGGGCCGGTGTTCAAATGCCATATTCACCCTTTCGTCAGGATGAATGGGGTGGAGGTTGATCGGGAGACGTGGAAGAAGGGACATCAGCTGTTCCTGCAAGCATTCCAGGAGCCAGCCGCAGCTCCGGAGAAAAAGAAGCTCGCGCGGCTGTTGAAGAAACCGCTCGGGAAAGAGATCGCGGACGCGCTGTTCCCCTACGAAAGCTTCCTCCTCGGCTTGGGGCGCATGAACCTCAGTATGTCTTGTCATTCCCGCTCTATGTCCGTGCCAAGCTCATATGTCGTCTGATCGCTCAGACATCGAGGCACACGGCGGCATCTACGTGCTTCACTCGCATCTCAACCACTCTTGCTCGCCAAACGTTGCCATCAGACACCTTGACCAACGCACCGCCTTGTCACGTATCACCGTCATTGCCAAGCAGGACATCCAGCCGGGTGAGGAGCTGTGCATTACGTACGTCAACCCCGACCTCCCGGTCGACCTCCGCCGTCGTCAGATCATGGAATGGGGCTTCGGCTTGTGCCAATGTCCGCGCTGCATCGCTGAGGGCTCTGATTCCCCCGACAAGGCACAAAAGGCTGTGCCTACACTGGATCTGGGCGACCTGGAAAGCGAGCTGAAGGCGGGTCTGGGCATGTTGTAGATCCGGTGTGTGCGGTCCAATGAATAGGGGTCTTATCCTATGCTCACAGTACTTAGAGTTACTGGTGTTCTCACCCCGAAAGAATACTGTAGTGGGAGCGGTGCTATTCGATCGGATGGTAGACGGCCCCGCGCGGCTGAACCATGAAAGACATTGTCATAAAGACGTTCCTATAACACCGCCTCGCTTCGCCTTATGCCATTTATGATGGAACCTTGTTGTGGATTCCAAACGTTGTACTAGAATGGGAGCAGCCGATTGAGGACGTTTGACAATGGGGTTAGAAGTTGTAGCACGAAGCCTCCGCTTACCTACTTGTTCCCAAGCCTGTACCTGCCATGCTGCATGCCAAGGTACACTTTGACAAAATACTGGTCTCTGTTTAGCGAGCCAGGCGCATTCAAACGCACAAAGAGCTCAAGCGCAGCTTCATGATTGATTATATGTGGTCAATCAACCTCGCCGGTAACGACGGGTACGTCGTGGGCACAATCACGCAGTTGTCATATTGGCTAGCGACATGTCGCCGTAAAAAGTATGTCGCTGTCGTTCCAAAAAAAAACACATTTGCGTGAATACCGCTACATCAAATTCTCCAATTGAAATAACACAATCGACTGGGCGCCGGATATATGTCTATCGTTTGACAAATGGCAGTCCACTCGCCACCTTCTCGACATCGCGACAGGTCAGGCTGTACCTGATGTCCCGCTCCAACACTCCGCCGTTGAGCACAGCGGCGCGCTCCGTTGAGTCGCTCAGAAGGTCCACGTTCGCCACCGTGGGTGTAGATTGCTTGTCGCCGTCCGCTATCGAGGGGGAAAAGCGATCTTCAGTGACCGCGTCTATGCCGTGCAGATAAGACCGGTAAAACGTGGTGGTCGTGATGACGAGGCTACGGCGCTCCAGAAGGACAGAGAGCACAGGAATGGGGTCGATGGGGCGACCGTCGCCTTGGGCGTCGTCAGAGTTCTTGTCTGAATCTACAGTACCGCCTCGGAATTTGTAGCGATAGTAGTGGAACATCGTGTGAGAGCCTAATGACAACGTAGCTACCACTGAGTGGTAAGCAGGCCCATCTTCATGGGGCTCAAGATAGGCTTAGCCTGAGGAACCGCGAGGAGGGAGACGCCGCGACAACATACCATAATTCCTTGCCCTGGGAGATACTGGACGGTGTCAATCGAAGTGAGGAACCATGGTGAACGGAGCTTACTTCGTTCATGAGAACATGGTTTGGAGCGCCATGAGGCGAGGAATGAAATGCACCCGTAGCTTTGATACGGCCAACGATATCTGGGCTGCAGGAACTTGTTAGAAACATGACGGCATATGCAATCTTCGCCGTTCGCTTACTACTTGGTCACGAATGCCGGAAGGCTTTCCGGTATCAGCATTTTCTTAGCCGTCATACTTCCGCCTACAGGACAGCAATTACCAACCGCAGCAACATGGAGAATCGGTATACTAACCCCATATTTGCAATCTGTTTAAAAGGACAATGAAGGTGAACATTATCGCGTTCCGCACCGTGCTATATTGAGTAGACATCAGACCTACGGTTCGCAAGCTGCTTCCACTTAGGCAGTGGCGAATCGCGAATCTGTCAGCGCCATTCAGAGCAGGTGCGCTCGAGGGCTAAGCGGCTCTTCATTAGCAATACCTTGCGAATTAACAATGCCTCTTCTTCTTCGGTGACAAATTCCGAGATGTAATAGACATCGTTTGTGCCCGGAACAAGATGATCAGTGAGACAGGACGCCTGCATATCCGAGACCTTGTTGTATGCTTGATTTCGAAGTTGCCTCGATTCTTGTTGTAATGGTCAGAGACTACCACTGAGATAGACACATTCAGTGAGTACATGGCGAAGCGATGTTTACACTTATATATATGCTAAGTCGTAGTTGCACAAGCTCTCGTCGTCTAATGGTTATGATGTCAGATTCCTATCTATAGGAAGCCTTTATCTGAAGGTTCCGGGTTCGAGTCCCGGCGGGAGTACGTTTTTCCTTTTGTGGCACGCAGTCCGTGATACGCCGTTACTGGGCTGGGCCTCTTGTGCCTAGCCACCTACTCGAGTTACCCTTTCCCGCTGGTATCGTTCTGCTTTCTTTTTTCCATACAGGACTGTTTACCTCTACTGTCTGGCACATAACCTTGGGAGACCACAAACCCCCGCCATCGTTTGCAATGTCAGGGAAGACAATCAGCAATGGCACCCTTAGCTTGCGGTTCATGCAAAATGCTCAAAGGGCCAAGATGCAAGCACAAGTAGAACTGGAACAAGCCAAAATACAGGACGATGCGCAATGGGAAGTCTCGGGGGAATTGAGAGAGGCTTGGGGCATTGGCACGAGCTCACAACGAGAGTGAGTCGCGCGGCACATCGACTGACAGGAAGTCTAAGCCGTTCCTTGAGGGAGCGCATTGTGCACGAAACTTCATATCTACCGTTCCTGTTTGAAGCCGACTCAGCTGGCCCCTCGTCAGGAGAGGTCTCACTGAATGCGGCTCGTCTGCGAGGACGGCGAGTGTTCAACGGGCGCGGCCAGGAGATTATCCAAACCGAGGTGCGCTTGCCCGTTTCGTATCACACTACGCGCTCAGCACTGTCTATCCACATCCACAGAAAATCCCAGATGTGGATGAGGGAAAGCCATCCGCAGAAGACGAGGGCGGTCCGAGGGGCTCTCGGAAACCCCAGACACGTCCGGTCTCGATCTCAGGGTTCAAGGCGCCCATTTCCATAGCGAAGAAAGACGGCAAGAAGGTCCGGACGAAGACGGCGCAAATGCTCATACGCGAGGACCCTCTCGCGTCTATGCCGCCATTCCCCAGGCCTCCTGCCGCCGCCAGCAGCGGCTTCATGAAGCCGGCAGGTATTGACGAGCCGGCGTCCAAGGGCGGCAACTCCGCCACACAGAAGCGTGGCAGGGAGCAGGATCCGAGCGTGGACCCGTCGGATGCTCAAGGCAAAAAGAGGAAGAAAAAGAAGGCGGAAGTGTCATGATGCTGTCTTAGGAGCCGCATCCTCGTCTCAGCCACGTCGATACGCGGTTCTGAGCGAGGAATCGCGTCGAATTGAAAATTGAAGGGTCGAAATTGGTCATATTCGCGTTGCTCATAGGCTGCTCACACCTCACACGACTCACCGCATCTGGAAGTTCTGTCCGCCGGCCGCACAAAACGTGGAGGCTAGCAATGGCCAGCTGTTGCCGGCTGTCTATTCAGCGCCACAAAGAGTATGCCCGTCGTAGGTCCCATCGGGTTAATGTAACGACAACGGCAGCTGTGCAGAGCAGACCTCGATTGTATAATTATTCACACATGCTTCTGTCAAGGCAACCGAACATCCCACCGAGATATCAACGGCCGTCTCGATCCTTTCCCAAGTTAGAACAACGCGCATCCCCAGAAAAAGCGAGGCTGTGTCTCTGAGCTCAGGGTGACTTCCGATGTATCGGCGTTGGGTGCATCTCACACTGCTTTCCTAGGTATCCCATGATCCCATGTATCTAGCCGCATTCTAGTGCTCATGATCGAGGGAACGGCTGACTCAGACAAGATTTGTGCTGTGCAGGCGAGAAATCGCCCCAGCTGTTGCTCTTCACACATCCAGCTTCCTCAAAGAGGGCGCAGCCATCCTGCTACTTGGCGTACACGTATGTGCTCGAGGACATATGAATACCACTTGAAGCGCGTCCTGACTCAGCTGCACTGTATATTGGGATGCGGTTGTGAAAGGGAGCGCTGGGACAAATATGCGCAAGGTCCGTCGCCGAATTGTGCCTGCGCCGACGGGCACCCTCGAAGCTGAGAATGGCATGATTACGTCCAGGGGCGGCGGTGGTCGACCCGTGTCAAATATCAATTGCTCCCGCGAACTGTGGCGATCTCTGTACGATGGCAGACACAGCGGCCGCGATTGCCCTATGCGCCCAGCCTTCGGGAAATCGACATCCGGTGACCATCTCTGACGAAGTCATGTGAGTCAATTCACTAACGCGTCGGTTTAGAGTCTTCCTGTTCCGACCACATATGTATATGGGGTGCTTCGCTTGTTCATGCACCATGCATCATGAGACGCGAAGCTTCACATGTTCCGCATTGATTAGATTGCAATTACATCACAGTTCTCGACGCACACAAGCGCCCCGCTACCCCCTCGCAGCTCCCCCGACAAGTCCCTCGCACTCCGCGCTCGCACAGTGCGCAGACGGTGCTTCGACTTCTTCGCCTAGGCGGGTAAGGCCCTAGCGCGCGCGGGAACGCCCTGGCGCCCGCCGTGCTTCTGCGATCCCGCGCCTCTCTCCCGCACACGAAGCTGCACAGTACCGCACTTCCTGCACTTCACGACTGACCTCATCATGTGCGATGCATGATCCAGTGCGTTTAGCGTTTATCAGATGCAGCAGCGCGAACCACCGGCATCTATCGCACCAGGGCTTCGCCTTCTCCGAGTCAGAAGCGACGCGCCCGGACCCACCTCCCCTCTATTGCCCAGGAAGCCCACGCTCGTGCTCCAGGTCTCTCCATCGGTGCCTGTGGCTGGTCTAGTCGCTGGAAGGCCCGCGCGGAAGCTCCTGTATGGATATGGATATCGGCGGCGCGGCCACAGCACACCGCACACAGCGTGTCGTAAGTGCTCCGTCCTCGTCGTGCATGTGATGGGGGGCGCGGCGGATGCTGGGCTCCATGATGTTGATATCGGCGCTGCGATCATGCGTCATGCGCGGATCGCTCGCGGGCCCTTGTGCAGATGTGGCACAGATGCAGCCTGTGATGGCGATGCGCGGGGGTGGGCGGCGGGAGACCCGACAGTAGCAGCAGCTTCATAGGACGGCGGCTTCAGAGCCAAGGCGCGCGTGTACGTGGCGCCAGCAGTCGGCGAGCGCGACACGCGCAAGACCCCCACTCGCGGACGCCGCGCACAGTGCAAGGAAGGAAGGCCCCGGGGGCGCGCGCGCAGCGTCCCTTGGCAGATCGCACACCGCGCACTCGCACTGACAGAGATGGGGCATGATATATATCGTGTACGTACGCACGTGCAGCGCGTCCCACGATCGAACGCGTCGCCCCGTTGCTGTTGCTGTTGCTGTTGCTGTTGCTGTTGCTGTTGCTGCACTGACTCACGCTCACGGTCTCATGGCGGACTGACCGGCAGCGCGTCCATCCAAGCTATCAAGCGCCCATCACAGATCGTAGCTGCTGCCTTCGACGACATAAGCCACAACCTTGCCGTCAATCTTCCCTTCCGCGGGAGGGCCCCCCGAGCGCGACTGTCGCAGCCCAGAAGCCAGCAGCCAGAAGACAGAGGACACGGCCCTAGGCGCAGGGCAGGGTCTGTGTCTGTGGCGGGGGCAGGGGCAGGTGGAGGGAGGGTCCACGGATCTGAGCGCGAGGGTTCTTCTGCTTCCGCGGCGCGCTGCCGGACGGTGCGCGCGATAATGCGATAATGATCTGCGCCGCATAATGAAGGGGGGCTCCCGCGGGCCCTTACGGCGTGCCAATTGACCGGCTGCGATGCCGCGCATCATCATCAGCATCTTCGTGCTTCGTGCTTTGTGCTTCCTGCTCGTGCAGACGCCGCGCTCGTCCGTGTTCGTGCATCGAGGCGCCTGCCGGACGCTGGACGTGGAACGCTGAACGCGAACGCTAGCCCTGCCGCCACGGGAACCGCGAGGGCCGCTATCGCAGCAGGCTTGCTTAACATCCGGGTGGGGGTGTCGCCCAACGAGCCGTCTCCCCGCACCGCAGGCTCTTCTCTTCTGCTGCTGCCCGCCTCGCGCCCTTACCTGCGCGCAACGGGCAACGGCGATGCGCTCCATGGGAATGGCTCCCGCGTACTGTAACGAGCGGCAAGCGACTTCTCTCACCCCATGATACGTGATAAAGCCTCCGGACGGACGCCACCGGATGCTTTACGCAGCGACGGGAGGGGCGTCCTCGCGGCTTCGTCTTCCCCACGCAAGACCCGTCAGAGGTCGCCGCAGCGAGCAATCCATGGTCTGCAGTCTGCACAGTCCCGCGCGGGCCATCGTGCGGCCGGGCGATACAGCGCAGACCGGGATGTCCTGGACACGCACACGTATTTGTGGCCCCACACGAGCCGCTGGCCGTCACCCGCCAGCGTCGGCACGCCGCGGCGAACACCGATCTGGCAGAGACTGGCGGACTGTCAGTGCGTGTCAGCGTGAGGCGCGGGGCGACGGCGGGCGGGAGGCGAGGAGGACAGAATCCTGAGCAGGCGGTAGGCGCGGCGCCGCACCCAGCGTGTGCACGGCACCGGCACCACGTGACATAGTGCCGCTCACGTACGCTGTCTGTGAGTCGACGGTGTGCCCAAAGGACATGCAACATATCCTGATAGCCTCTGACCGTTCGGGGTATGCGAGCGCTACTCAGCCGATGCGTGCGGTAAGTGGCTGCCAGATTAGCGGGCGCCAAGCGCGGGCAGGCGCCAGGACAGACTCCGACCTCGGTCAGGGCGACGAGGCGAGTGTTCAGATTTGCACGGCGGGCGCTATGCGTGTGCCGACTGCTGACGGCCGCCATGCTATGCGTGGAGATGGCTCGGACGGCGTGAGGCAGGGACACATATACACCTAATGCCAAGTCGCGGAGAGGCACTGCAGCGCTGACATGTTAATGGACGTACATGCAACAGATGCCCATCTGGATATCCACGACGGATGTCCACGCGCGGCTGTCGAGCGCATGGCGCCTGGGTCACGCCCAATGGCGATAAGCTGCTCCTGTGTAATGTGTCGTTGCCATTGTGCGTCCCTGGATCGATATCCGTCGCGACGGAAATATATCTCGATCGCGTCCGAATGAGAACAGACGATGCTGATGCAGGGAGGCGCGGGGGCCCTATCGCGCGCTAGCCCAAACAGGGGCGCGCAGATGACAATGAGGCATTCCATGCCCGGCGGGAGAGGGAGAGCCTGAGAGAAGGGGGAGCGCGGTGGCACGGCGGCGCGGTGCTGACCACCCACAGGGAGCCTCGGTGACGTCGCCTCGCCTCGCCTCGCGGCGCGAAGCCCAGAAGGGAGGCGCACCACCGCATCGGGCGGGGCGTGCGCACACGGATGTGCAGGCACGCGGGCTGCCATCGTCCGTCCCAGAAAGGCAGGGGAGGGGCACCCGAGGTCGAAGCGGCCCGACAAAGGCATGGGCCCGGGGACCAGTGGCGCGGCGGCGACCTCGAGAGCACGAGCACGAGCGATGTATACATAGCACTGGACGGCCCCAGGCCATGACACAATATTGGCCTGCTGCCAGCGGCACCGAGCCAAGAAGCGCAGACGCGGTGCGGCGTGCGCAGGCGGTGGGGAGGCAGTTCGGATCCGGAGCCCAGGCCGTCTGCACACCACGACCCACTGTGATGGCCTGACCCTCGCGGACGGTCGAAGCCGGCGTGGCACGCCCCGGGCCTTCGCCGCCTTTAGACGTGCGGCCCATCACAGATCGGAGGGAGAAACAGAGGGGGCGCGGGGGACCGTGGACGCGGAGTGCGCAGGACGGATGTCGGCGCGATCTCGCGGGAGACGGGCAGGCGGGCCTGGAGCAGAAGCCCGCGCAACAGGGCCCGCTGTGAAGCAGACACAGACATAAGGGGAGGCAGCGTCCGCGCATCGGACAGCAGCGCGACGCAGGACACTGGGGCCGGGCGCAGTTGCACCGATCGGATTCAGAGCTTCTGCGCTAGCCCAGTGCAGCGGTTCTGCCAACGCTATTCCGACGGGCTGCAGCAGGCCCGTGACCCGACGAGACGGGACGGCCGGATGCTCGATGCACCAAGCGAATTTGCGGCCTTGAGGGACGGTGCGCTAGGGGCACAGATCGGGAAGTTGAGGAAGACGTGGCCCGCGAGGAGGGTGTCGCACGAGGCTGGCCGTCACGGAAGCCTAACGGGCAGGTCGCGAGCGCACGGATCCCCAGGGAAGAGACACCGCGGCAGCCACGGGAAGCGCTGCAGCCGCCAAGGGGGCGTCACGCCACCGGACGGTCGCCGATCGTCTGAGATGCACGACGGGGCGATATAGACACCGCGTCGAACGGTGGAACGCGTCCTGCGCCGCGGACCGAAGGCGGTTCCTGGGAATGGAGGGCGGTGGCAGTTGCGGGGGCTGCGTCGAGGTCGCGGGCGCGGTCCAGGCGATCTCGCGCCCGCCATCGCCAGTGCGGCGGGGAGCGGCGGCAGCGGCAGCGCTAGCGCGAGGACGAGGACGCCGGTCGATCCCCGGCAGAACGGAGTGGCGCGAGGGCGAGTGGCCGGGGAGAGTAGCCGGGCACACGTAAGGCGCAAGGGCCGGCCGGGAATCAGGCTTCCTGTTCGGGCAGAAACTGTCAGGCGAGAGAAGCGCGGGCGGAGAGGGGCGATGGGCGATGGGGGAAGGCGTCTGTTCTGTGCGAGCGTGAGGACGCGGGCGCTCGCAGGCTATTGCCCCTGCGCTGGGCCGCATCCCATAACGATCATCATGACAGGGATGACATCGCATGAAGGCGAAGCTAGCTCCTGGGAACGTGATCCCGTCCCCGTTTCGCAGCGCGCTTCTCCCTCGCTTCAGACTCCGGCACGTAACGCTATCTGGCAGCGGTCCGGATGCGTCAATGCGCCAGCACCGTCAAGGGTCTGCGTCCCTTCATGTCATAATGCCACCTCTCGCCTTCCTCAGCCGCTGGGAACGCCGCGCCCCTTATAAGCCTCCGTCGCCCGGCTCATCAGGCCCCCCCTTCCCCGCACCACTGCTCTGCTGCGCCCCTCCGCCCGCCCTTCCGAGTCGCATCCCCTCCGCCATGTCTGCCGTCAGCACCAGCTACCACCTCCGCCCCGTCTCCGACGCCGGCTCGCCCTCCTCCACCGCCAGCACCTCCACCGCGAGCGAGCACAGCCCCCACTTCCACCGCAAGCCCTCCGTCGCGCCCCTGCAGCGCTCCGCCTCCGCCGCAACCCACGCCCGCCGCCCGCTCTCGCCATCATCGCTTCGAGGTGCGCCACGCTCTGTGACCGTCCCCATAGCACACCCCGCAGACCGTCCCCGCCCCGCACCTCCCACAGAGCTCGACCTCTCCGTCGCCCAGGCCGACATGCCCCGCCGCTACCCCGCCCCGCCCACCGGCCACGACCTCATGGCCCTCTTCCCGCCCGCCCCGCCCCTCACCCTCAGCTCCGGCCCCACCAGCGGCTACTTCCAGCAGCAGGAGCGCGCCTTCTTCGCCAAGAAGGGCAAGGAGATCGTCCGCGTCCAGATCGAGGTCGACATGCCGCGCCACCCCGACCCGCACGACCCGAACCCGACCCCCAAGCTCAAAAGCCGCGACCTCGCGCCGCCGCCGCCGCCCCGCCAGTGGCCCCCCGCGCACGCCGCGGCCTCCCCGCACGCCGACCCCGCGCGCAGCATGCCGCC